CAACCCCCTTATTATTTGGTATTATTTTTTCTTTGCCCACCCCCTCATTCCATAACCCACAACTGTGGGCAAAATACCATGAGCTTCTCCCCCCACACACACACCCTTCTCCATCATTTCGTTTGTTGATGCATCATCCATTGACATTTCATGTGAAAAATACACAGTCACATAATGTTTATGCACACAAAGTGTGCTAACATCATCATCATAGGTTTAAAATATCATCATTTTGCAACGGAGTCTATTATAGCCATTTTTAATGCTATCAATGCTACCTATGAATGCTGCATAGCCAGTCACAACCTTTGTTTTTCATTTCTCCTGGGTATTACAGCCGTCGCAAGAGAAATTGAATACAATGCTTATGCAAAATTTGGGGGAAAACACGTTGTATTTTGGGAGATGTGCAAGTCTGATGACCGACAATTTGGCTAACAATAAGCGACTGTTCAACTTTGGCAAAAAAAAGGATCGAAACGTACCAATGACATTAAAGAGTCTTCATGGCCGGCTGACAGGCGACCAATAAACATCGCCATCATGACCAATCAGGTCAGTCATAACCAGAGTTTTATAGCATAAACTGACATGATGCAACTCAGTTAGACTCTGAAAATGACTACCGCACAGGTTGTTGAAATGTGGGTCACTGTCAATAACAGTCCTATTCTGTACTACGATCACCTGGACGATCATGCTTACTTATGAAATGACTCCTGGGTTCGAACCTTTCATAAAATGAGAGATGTTTTACTTACTGTGCACATGGCTTTTCTGTACATGCCGTCATACATCAAACCAATAATTATCCTGGCGTCTCTTTTCTTAAAGATACAAATCCATAATTAGCACGATTTAGTAACAACAATAAAGAAAAATAAATAAGTTATACAGTGGTTTCATGTGACATACAATGAATGGTTGGTTTTCACGTGACGTCATTAAAAATCAAACTAAAAAACTATCGATCCTACCGAGATTTTACTTTCACGATGCATTAGAGCAGCTGAAAACTAATTTTCATACAAATTTTTGCTTCAAAAGGGTTCTTGGTTTTGTGATAGAGTACGCTTGAATTTCTACGCTTTTGCGTGACGCGGCATTTACATGACGGCCAGGAGAGCTGTCATGTAGGTTAAAAAAATAACTTATTTCAGGAAATTTTGCTATCTAAACAGTTCATGCATTAGAAAAAGTATTACTTTAATGTTTATGAGTTTCTCGAAGAATAAATTCACGCTTTTGTAGCAAAACTCGGTAACAGATGTTTCTGTTGGTTTCCTTCCGCCATGTTGGAGCTCATCCAGGTGAGTACCAGCATGACGTCTCCATACAAATCTCTATAAGTTTGGGTGAAACATTTCTTCGGACATCTCGTATACGAAATATTCCTCTGTCCTGAATCTTGGCGAGGGTCTTTTTATATGTACCTCCTTTCATTTCCCAGATTCTGGACTTTATCTATTGAACGGTTTTGATTTTTACTTTGAAATATTTTGAATGGCGTGATACTGAAAACCAACAATATCTGTCGAGTCACTTGCATTTTCTTAATTATGTGTTCGTAAAAAATGCAAGTGAAAGGGGGCCAATTTCTTAGTGTGCTCAGAGTACTAAAGAAGAATTCTCACAATAGTTGAAACATGCATAAAGCTAGCTGAAATTCACTGCTGTCATTTTACCTTCAGAAGATATTTAACCGACGAAGATGGATCGTTTTGGAAGGTTTCTGTTGCTATTACAGTGATGTTCGATTCCCTCAACATCGGGATAAAGTCATCTACCGTCTGTGCATAACAAAAGAAGTTGAGTTGTTAAAAACATGCATAAAATTTCGTCGCTAATCGCACCACCTTCCAACGGGGCCTTTAGGAATCAAAATAGAAATTATTGTGTCCTTGCCCGCCTTGTGAATTCAGGAATCAAGGACATTTTTCTTCAATAACCATGACCTTGAATTTTTTCGATTCTTTCTTGATGCTCAACTCAAGCTCCACTTGGGGTTAAGGAAGATTTCAAGAAGATTTTTCAATCATTTAAAAATGGTTAGATCTTTCCTTAGCTTTCCTCCTGAATGGTCGAATTGATGTGCAATGCAATGCACTGAGGCACAGAAAGGCACTTCCACCATTACATGGTAGTGCTCCATTAAACCAGATATCAAAAGCTATAACCACTTGTGAAACCAACCACAATGAGAATGCTTCAGAAAAATAGCTATGATGTAGAAGCAATAAAGTACTGATGTAGAAGTATTTAACGGTCGCAAAATTTGATCTTCTTACGAGCTGTTTAGATGGGCTTAATGTTTTGAAGTTACGGGCAAATTTAATTTTGTGATTATAGATTATTATGCGATTACACTTAAATTCGACAAAATCACACAATTCTCTCTTCTAGTCAAACAAAAACGAAAAGCAGCCAAACTTTTCACATCGTTCATTCCAAGTACCTAATGAATATTAGACTTCCTTTTGTAATTACCAACTCGAAAATGTCCGCTTGCTGTACAATGAGAGCTACCCTTTTCCATTTAAAGTGCTTGAGTAGCGCTACTCTAGCTGGGTTTTCTATTATTTCTGAAGTACTTGTTCTGAAATAAAGGGGATACTTCTCTTTATTTGATAACGATGGTGAAGAAGTGCTGTACCCAATCTGAAACAAAGAGAAACCTGATAACATCTCATGTCTCAAAGAAAGTATCTGGCAGAGAGAGTCTAAATCAAGCAAATTGTCCCCTTGACACTTTCAACCTCCTCCCCCCTGGACTAGTTCTTATTAAATTATCACTGACATGCCTGTCTTCTGACATCGGGGAAGAAATTTGGAGTTTTACCATTGACAGAAAAAAAACTGCGTGCTGCCTCCGGCTGATGCTCGCTCTCCAGTAAAATGCGAGAAAACAAACGGACTCCTCTTTGTTGTGTTTTGATTGTTTTTTTTGTTGTTGTTGTTGTTGTTTTCTTTTTTCTACAGCTCACTTGTTTCATTGTTTTTATTGTTTGTTTTATTTGCTTCTTGTTTTTCATTTTTTTTGCTTACTATTTTGTTTGATTTGTTACGAACACTTACTTGCACTGCTTGCCAGTAAGACGCGGCTTCGGCAATAGGCTTGGTTGCTATCGAGCATCCAGGTCCCAAGAAAACAATCTTGTGCGGTGGTGTGTTGATCAAGTCTAACATAGCTCGGATGGCCACTCCACTTTCACACTAAAAAATAAAGCTAGAAGATCGAAATTTTGCCCTTGTTCAAAAAGACAGTGTCATCAAGATTTACTACTTATTCAAAATCCAAAAGAAGTGTTTTTACCCCATGTCTTAAGTTGCTGTGCATATACATAATTTTAAAAGGCGTCTCTCAATGAGGAAACAGCTGTCTATTGCTACAATCCCGCTCTGTTTTGGGTTCTTTCGGTGTCGGATTGATGTCTTGCAAAGTACGATCAGCATTGCAGTGTTCTGCTTGCAGAATTTAATGTTTCTCTAAGGATACCCTTTGAAAACAGCCCTTGTTCATCAATAAAGTGAAGAACGTATTCATTTTCTCTGACAACTGCAGGGACGTAGCTAGGAGGGGTCCTGGGGTGCCCATGACACCCCCCCCCCCACCCGCTTTCTTTGAATAATGATATCTCGAACTTCTTACATCCAAATTTTCCACAGGTTGTTTCCGGTGACAATATTTCCATTTTTTGTACATTTCTTGCCGTCACTGCATGAGCTACGACGAGAAATATTTTGCGGGCCAAAATTTTGAATTGTATACCTCCGACTATTAGAAATCTCCCAAAACAACGCTACAAAAAGAAAATACATGGCTGCTTACTTCAAATCCTTTCACAAACAAACCACTATCCTGATCTACCAACCTTATTAGGACAAATGAGACATGTTCAGAATCGTCAGTGCTTTACGCACTTGCTATCTTGCAATCATCTTAATAGTGTACTTGTAAGCTTCTGACTTATATTCTGTACTCCAGTTAATCTCAGCTTTGTTTTTAACGTAACCTTTCTTCTGTTCCTTGCCTTTTGTACAACTTAATATATTTATATAAGCTTAAATGACTTTTGTTGATCTGTTAATTTAATATAATACCATTTGGAGTGCTTATTTTGTTTTATATAAACACTGCCCACCTAGACTAGCCTTTGCTATTTGCGGGCAGTGAAAAAATAAAATTGTAAATATTTGAATAAACCAATAAACGAAATGAAATGAGAAATGAAAATGCCTAATTTCACGTTTTATGGGGGGCGTAAACAAGCGACGGCTGCACTTTCTTTCTCTTTCTGAAGTTGAATATGGTTCTTAGGAATTCGGCTCAAAAGAGTTCGCTTGCATTTGACAGAGTTAATTGAGGTAAAAGTGATTGAAAGAACGCAAATTCACTTTTTCGTGGCCGTCACCGTCGTGGTATCTTAAACTCCCGAATGGATGTCATTTTTACTAAAACACAGCCTGGATTTTGACAATCTGGTAAGTACCCTGGGAGTCTTTTGAAAAATCCTAGCTATGTTCCAAAAGTGCATAATCTGGGCTAAATCATTAAACTTGTCCCTTTCAATTTTATAAGGCGTTTTTCTTACCTTAGAATCACGCCATACATATTTGAGCTTGTAGTTTGTCAGAACATTTGGATCACTGTTCACGTGATCGAGCGCCATTTCAAACGCGGGGATAGCAGAAGCTGTACTCCAGCCGCCACCGGTTATGTTGACTCCAAAGAATCCACCAATTACCAGGTCAATTCTTGACGAGGAGTTGTCCGTTATAGTCATAGACGTCGACCAAAGAAAGCAGATAACAAAAGTGATGTACCTCGCCATATTTGCCTGAGTTAAATATTTGATTTTTAGTAATCTTACCCTCATAATACGTCAATTTTTAATCTAGATTTGAGTTTTTTGAATGGTATCCTTATTACTGTCAGAATGGACCGAAGGAAATATGTCACAAACCTAAGAAATACCCTCTGGTTTTCTCTCGTGCTAATAAATGATACGTTGAGGTTGGTTTCTAAATTTCCATCGGTGATCGCTGAGTTCAGTGATACTCCTTGATCATACAATGACCTGGGATTCCAAAAATATACACAGGAACCTTTAAAGTCTAGAAAAATAAAATTGACGGGTGTAATACAGATCTTTGTTTCACATTTTTTTTAAGAAACCACGAGAATCGAAGGTGAAAGATAAGTGTGAAAAGCCAACTAAAGCCAGGGTTTAAACTCTCATTAGTTGTGATAGCAAGGTGAATAGATGCATTACCCACCTTATTAAGACCTCGAGAACCTCCAAGGCTACATGCATATGTATTTTTAATGCAGGGACCACTCATATTTTATTTTATTTTTCTGGTGGCAGCTGCTTTCAGGAAAAAATAAACCATTGTTAACAGCTTGTCATTTTACATTTTATTCATCTCTTCATAAGTACACTTTTTGTCAATTTGTCTGATTCCTGACGACATCCTGAAATCCGGCTATGTTGATGTACATGTGTTTCAAATAATCTTAACTTTATAGGCAAAGGCGTCTTTTTTTCTGCAGCTCGAAGGATGTATTTGACGTAGTATGTTTTGATTTTTTACTTTAGCAAATAAGGAACTAAATATGTAAATACTTCATTTCTTTAAGATGGCATGAAATTGCGCCTGAGACAGGCACCAACATTGCGCCTAAATTTCCCACCCTAGAAATATCTTGCCTAATTAGCTTGTGGATATTTAAAAAGTGCATAAAAATAAATCCAAACGTCTTTACTTTAATTTGATTACCTGCTCAACGCCATCTAGGAATTGTGCAATTTGTGTGAATGTTTCTACGATATGCAACTTCTAGAGTCATTTGGCGGACAAACACTCACAGTCCTGGAGGGCCTAATTTATTGGATAAGAGGTTCTTTAAAACCCTGAGGGCTAACTTTCTGGAATTGGCAACCAACATGAATATTAAAATAACCATTGGAGATTCACAGTTTGAAACAACTTGATCGGATGTTGGCTTTGGAGTTGCTAAAATATGGAGATAAAAAGATCATCTTGTAGCGGATGGAATCAAAGGGTGTTGTCGAAAGAGGATTTGTGAAAACCTCGAGATTGCTCAGGCGGGCTCCTTTTCTAGCTATTTTATTTTAACATAAACTTTTATTTTAAAATTGATTAATAGCACGAAAAGAACATATTAAACTGAAATCAAGTATTCATCAGTGTCTGAAAATTTCCTTACAACTTTATCTTTTATTGCTTCTTTTTACCCTGCCAAAAAAACATTATTTCAGATTTGTTATATCTCACAAGTTCGAGAACCGTGTAGAAGTTAGTTGGTTCACCTTCAGCTTACCATCGCATTTGTACTCTAGTATTAAGAAAGGAAATTCTTGCCAGTGAAAATGCTGGCTTTCCTTAGTCATCTGAAAAGTGATATTTTTGATAACGAATACATGTCATTATCTAACCTCGTGCGGAATAAGAATATTTCACATTTTTTGTTCTTTTAAAAAAACAAATAACAGAATGCGATGAGAAATTGACTTTCAAAAGGACAAGGACAGTTATGGACAGGACCTTGGCGGGGGAACTTTTAATCAAAAAGCTGGTGAATTTAGCAGAAGCAGTCGCCGGGAGATGATGTAAATCCTATGTTGTGATTAGTTTGTTTGATTCAGCTCTCTTTATTGTCGCAAAAAATTGCCATATGATATAGTTTGTGACAAATCTTTGTTGGCCGAGCTTTTTCGGTCAAGAAGGTTGGGAAATGGCCCTTTTGTGTTCTCGGACGGAAACCTCCGACTTCCGTCAACACGTAAACAATAAAAATTATTGTAAAAGTTCTCTAGTCCGTCAAGGCATAAATATTAAGTCATGCTTGTGCATACAGCTATGCATTTTCAATTCAAAGTGTAAACGGATTCGTGTGCACATGCCAGCAAATGACGATGAGCATTCTGAACACAAAGCATTTTTCTTAGCACTAAACCTTTCCCCCCTTTTTGTGCAGTTGGTTTGTTTACCTATTTCAGTAGTCATAGAGGGATGAACTTACCCTGATTTATCTCGAGGAAATGAAAAACTATCACAGTCTCAGCGTTTCAGGCACCGTTAGTCAGTTAATTATGCGAGCTCGCAAGCCCAAAGTTGAATACAAATTAGCTCTACAGGAAAGACCCAAGGGAGCTCCTTGACATATTATTATACAAAAAATTTTAAGTAACTTAACAAGGATCAATTAAAACACGCGACTAATAATTGCTAGCAATAAAACCACAAGAGAGATATCGTTTTAAAAACTTTATTTTAAGTGCGTCCATGTTCAGATGGCGCTTCCTAAAAGAAATTTTAAATGTGTTCAAATACTGCTAGCTGGAGCTGCCTACCTTTATTTAACAGCTACAAATAATAAAGAATTTACTGGTTAAAGCTCGTTGACTTCGTTCTGTGCCGAAAGCAGTGAAAAAAAAAATTAGGCTGAAGCACCATATTTTACGAACTGAAAGGTGTTGTGAAAGCGAAGACTGGCTCAGAATAATTCGTAGGTTTCTGAAGGAGGAATTACAGTCAAACCAGGTCAAGATTCTATTCATGAATTGATTATTTGAAAAGTGAACCCGTTTGTCGCTTCTGTAACTTGTAGCCGGTATCAAATTGCATTCAAATGATCGGTGAATTTTTGACTGCAACTTTTTAGTATACGATGAGATGGAAAATATGTCAATGGGTGAAATTTCTATTTAGGTGTTCTTCAAATTTAAGAAAACTGAGCCGGCAGAAATTTTATAACGAACTCGCGTGTGTATTCACTGCTCATGACGCAAGCAAAAATGCAGACTGAAATCAACAACAACGAACGGATGGCGGCATTTTGGCCAATTAGAACAGCGCAAATCATCCGTATTGTTTCCTATCCAATCAGAAAAAAGTCCAGATTCTGGCTTTTTTACATGTGATCCGACAAAGAAATGTATCATGCCCTCTTCCCGTGAGAGACTTAGACCCTGTTTACATGGAGTGGGGGACCCCGGTCTAGTGGGGTAAGTTTCTTTTGTTTTGTGTCCCCCAGAGCGTGAAAACAAAAGAAACTTACCCCACTAGACCGGGTTCCCCCACTCCATGTAAACAGGCCCTTAAAGGGATAATAGGGAGAGGGCATGATCTCAGGCTAAGGAAACTTCGGCATAAGAAATTCAAACCTTACAAATACCCCACGGGCGAAGAAGATGAAGATTAATTGATTTCCATTCCTTACAAATTGCTGTGTATTTGACCCTTTTTGTCATTGTTTTTTAATGAAGTTTTTAAAACGGTATCTCTCTTGTGGTTTTATTGCTAGTAATTATTAGTCGCTTGTTTTAATTGATCCTTGTTAAGTTATTTAAAATTGTTTATATAATAATTCGTCAAGGTGCTCCCTTGGGTCTTTCCTGTAGAACTAATTTGTATTCAACTTTGGGCTTGCGAACTCGCATAATTAACTGACTAACGGTGCGTGAAACGCTGAGACTGTGATAGTTTTTCATTTCCTCGAGATAGGAGAAAACGTCAGACAAAATTGAAATAGAGAGTTTTCAGTTCTACTTTGTGTATGTGTTTTTCTTATATATCTGAGTTTTAGCGCTAAATAAGATATAGGAAGCCGTTTCTCGCGTTGCTAGGTGATCGCTTCTCTTATTCCTATTTTCCTTTTAGTAGACGGTCCGAAAACCGGGCTCAAGTTACTTAACGGGCAAGCCTGTTGTGCCTATTGTGTTCTTCAAAAGAAAAGAAACGACTATCCACTTCATTATAAATAGAGGAAGGCACTTATTAGTATGGAGGAAGGCACTAAATTAGTATGCAGGAAGACACTTGTATATATTAATAAAGGGAAGGCATACGGGAGGAAGGGGAAGGCATTAATCCGGTTAAGTTCATCCCTCTATGACTACTCATTTCAACCATGTGAATACGGTGCTCGATGGACACTAACGTGAACACTCGACTTTGTTGTATAACTACGAATAATTCATGACTTTAAAATTTGGGTCAGTTGAAGAACGTTACATGTTGCCAGCGAGGTCTTTTTCCCCAGGCTCTTCCTTTGAATGTTGGCCTCGAAATTGGACGATTCCACCGCAAAATCATTACAAAACAACAACGATAGAGAGAAAGGAAAGTTCCAGATTAGTGTGACCCAAGTTGGATGTCATTGCTTGAAGGCCAGAATTCGGGCACGATACCAGTCCCGGTATCCAAGGTCGAGACCTTGTACTCGTATATTAAGGTAAGTACAGGGTCTCTATGTGTGCAAGCTTTCCGTAAGTGCCTAGATAATTCAGTTCTTTGCATACCCATAACTCCCTTCTACACCAGTTTCAAAATGGCGTCTGACAAAGCGTTTCAACATTCAACAGCATTTCATGTGTGCGAGTGGTATTTACAGTCATGTGGCCGAAAGGATACCATGTTTTTTCTGTGAGATAATCAGCCACCTCATTATAAGTGATACAGTTCTGAAAGAAGCGGTATTTCATCTGTTTTTTTTTCTAACTTCTTATTTTACAAATTTCTAACATTTTTGCTACTCTTGTCTTTGACTCCCGAGTTTACCACTTTTTCCAGGGACAGTCTCGTTCTTTCTTATACTCTTGATTCTTATTTAGTGGCTGTGTTTCAATCTGCGGTAGATTGAGCGGTCCTTATTCAACTCTGGCTCGTCTGGACTTGTTCTAGGGAAAACATTGAGTTCTTGCTTCTATAAGTTTCTATTCTCATGCTGGAATTATTGCACGTTGCTTCTGCGGTTGCAAATTGACTTCGGCTCGGCTCCTGCGTACAATCCACCTTGTTATTTCTATGAAGATGGAGGATCTGCGAAATAACGCAATTATAAGTTAAATTATAACGAAGCATGAGCAGCGATGCCTCATAGCTACAGAAAATGGAAACCTATCGATTAAGAAATTAAATGCAAAAACTATGGACGAAGATCCTGCTGGTTGTCAATCTTGGGTTTCTAGAAAAGGGACCTAGTCAGCTAAAATAAAGGTAAAGGCGCCATGAGCGAAAGGCCCAAACGGCCAGAGCTTATCCCGGTTTCATTAGCATGAAACACCTAGCAGTATTCTTACTACCCCCTGAACGGGATGCTAGTCCATCGCAGGGTTACCCCCGGCACTATATCGCTGGTACCCATTTATACACCTGGGTGGGGAGAGACAAAGTGGAGTAAAGTTCATTGCCTAAGGAAACAACGCGATGGGCGAGGCTGGAGCCCTGGACCTCCAGATCTAGAGTTTGAAGGGTTTACCACTCGGCCACACTCGCTGCCACAATCAGCTAAAATATTAAGAACAAAAAACATCTGTAAACCTCAAGAAGACTGGGATGGCCAGCCGAAATATTGTTCTAAAAAAGCGATACACGTTGTCATCATCTTTAAACCTATTGATGCCAGAAAATTTGGTTATGACGTCAGCGTGCGCCCACCCATCTGCCCGTACAGACTCTGGGAGTCGGAGTAAAAAAACTCAGTAGAGTAGAGAAGGGAGTCCCAGACATGTACGTTGCGTTGCGTTTGGCGCAAAATTAACCATTTGGGGGGGAACCAACGGAGTTGCTCGAGTGAAATACTAGATTGAAGTTTATTGTCTTCGAATTACGGCAAAATGTTCGGAGGTAAATTTCTAACTCTATATTTTTGCTTGGTCACGCTTTTGGTCACACTCCAGGAACAATTCTTCTCCCCCTCCCACTTGGGCAAACTTTTGACAGGTGAACTCATGCGTGAAAACGTCATCTATAAATTTGTTTGCCAACGACTGAAGCCTTTCAGTTAAGTTTTAAAATTCTCGTGTTCTTGTTCTGCCGCCATAAAGTGAAATACAACTGCTGTAAGTTTCTTTTTCTTTTTTTAAAAATTGAATTGTTTATTTCGATGTTCGTCGAACAAGGTGTCGCAAAGGCTTAAATTACCTATTTGGGTATCTGAATATCAACCAGCCTTTATAAAACAGGGGCTATTAGCTTCTCAAAGGGGTGTGTTGGGTGGGGGGGAGGGGCGTGTCAGTGATGTACGCTTATGGGTAAGAATTCTTTTCCAAGACTATCACTGTGACCGAATTTAATTCATAATTTTGTTTTTTTCGTTTAAAAGTGGTTACGTATAAATTTCTGAATTTCTTTGCATAGAAAAAATGGACCCTTCACTTTCAACCTTAGCTAAGTCTATATATTATTTACTTTTTAGTGGCGACTTGCAAAATAGTAAAGAGGGAGCGTGGCCGAGTAAGCGGGTCGGACTTTCAATCGGGAGGCGTCACTCTTATTGTTTCTAAATTTGACCAGCCAACATTCTACCGTCAGGAGAGGGGGGCTTACTTTCCTCGCCTGAACAGGGGAGGGCTTATTAGAGAGAGACTGAGAGGGGGAGGTTAATTGAAGATTTACGGAGAAATCTTTTTCTGGACCAGGCGCTAAAATATGGAACAGTATCCCCCAAGAACTAGGAAAACTGATTAAATATAGATTTTAGAATAAGTAAGAAAGAAACACTTCTAAAAGTTCTAAAGCAATTATGTTGAAATACCAGCCCTAATTTCTGAATTTGATCCCAAACGCCCTTAGTAGCTAGTTGCATACTGTTCTTCCTTGGATGAAATGACAAAATTGTTATTGCAAAAAGGTTAACCAAGCAGTATGATGACTCACAACGGTAATGATATTTAGAAAAAAAGTATCTCACCTTTGGGACAAACAAGAAACAAATTGTAGACGTTGCTCCCACCAAGACAATTGATCTAATGACCAGAATCTCAAGAGGAGGGTATGTAACTACAAATACAACCACAAGAGCCAAGCAAGAGAACATGAACACGTTATACACAGCCAAACCAATGTTTTTTGAATCATTAAGCGCGGGATAATGGACGTTTCTTGTTTCCCAGGCCAGAAATACTCCAAATATTAACAGAACTCCTTTCAAAGAGCAAATCGACATCACCCATGTCATGTGATATCGAGAAGTGCATCGATAAATCTGTAACTGTTCTTCGACGTCATCGCCGTCGACATAAACCTGTTAAAAATATCATTAAAAGGAGTAGAAAGATGAGTACAAAAAACTGTAGGACACTCTTGATCAAAAAAGGGTTATAAAAGTTGATGGAGATCTTTTTTGCTTACTTCTTCGCCAATCTGCTGAAGCTTGATACTAAATGGATCAATGGCAGCCCAAACCGACAGAATTATAACCTCTATAAGCCATCCAGCACACAGTCTGAGTAGAAGGCTCACGTTGCTCAATTTGCCGATCTGAAAAAAGATGTGAAAACATTATTCTAATCATGAGAGTATCCAGGATTACAATTATGTTACATGTGACTGAATGACGGTTACGTCTGATTTAGCTACCGGTTATAACAGTAACGTCAGTAAAGGGTTTTGTGATCAGGTTTACGTAGCAGCAACGGCATTGACAACATTTTCTCGTTGTTAAATGCTCTCGCCGCTGCTCACTGGCCGTTTATTACACGAAGATTTCACGTTCATGAAAAAAATTAGAGATGAATTTATTGTACATTAGCGATCGTATGAGTATCTCTGCCGTAATGTGATGCTCGTCCTCTCCAATGACGTTAATGAAAACCACAGCGATAACTGTTACTACAAAGATCAATCATGACGGTGTAATTCAAATGTCCTTAGCAGTGACGGATTCGGATCATTAAGTCAGTGAGCGTCCTGGCCTCGAAAATGAAATAATCGTTCTTGGCTCTGCGGGCCTCACTTTGACCAAAAAGTATGGAGGGAGCGGTCCCTTGGGCCCCACCCTGAGATCCGTCATCACCGCTTAAACAAACAACGCTGAAACATCTTTTCGTACCTCTCTTTTCATCTGGTTGTTGGTGAAAATCTTGTAAACCCTCCAGGTTTTAACAAAAATGCCGCCAAAAGCTAGAGTGAAACCAGTCGAAAGCAACCAGGTACTTATCTAAGGATATTAAAATAAAGAACTTACAGTAAACATCATTTACATATAGATGTGCAAAAAGTCATCTAACCATCCGTTAAAAGTACAAATAAAACAGAAGATGATGAAAATCTCGAGCTAAGCCCAAATCACAATCTGTTTTAAGAAAGTACATCACGCCATTCTTCTGCTATCAAAAAGGGTTCAGTATTTAATTTAGTGATCATAAAGAATCAAACCGGTTTTTTACATGAGTGGTATACAAAAAAGGTACCTTACATAACATAAGGAAGAATCTTGCGTTGCTGACGACGAGCTACTGTACGCTGAGATAAGCACTTCCACATAACACAGCAGGCACCCAACTACAGTTAAATTGTTGAACTTTGGAGACGACATTCTTATGTACCTACAGAGAACAAAAATAAATAAATTTTACAGTTTACCAAGTAATCTTGGCAATAGCAAAATTCGTCCATAGTGGATGTCTTTCACCAAACCAAACAGAGAGACCGTTTAAGTATTCCTTCGTTCATTCATTCATAGTTTATTTGGTAAGGCAGGTCAAGTTAAAAGGCAGCTAAAGCTGGTGTGGACCTGCTGATAAACCATCTGTTGATGATATACAAATAAAAAATATATATACAGAAAATAGGTATAAAAAAGAATAAATATACAGTAGTAAGATAGAAGACTAAAAGTTAAGAACAACTAAAATACTATTTCATCTTGTGGAAATTTATATTGTCAAACAAGGGTCTATTTTTCTTGAGAAGCTTTTTAAAAAATATTTAGGCTTGGTGCTCTTTTTAAATTGTCTGGAATGGAGTTCCAGAAGAAAGTTCCCCTACACCTTAATGAATTCCTGCCCTCCTCTAGATCATAACAGCAATTGCTACTACTAAAAAGCCTAATTACGTTATCTGGTAGCTCAGATTTGTAAACTTGATACATAAAAGTCAGTAACTTTCTCTTATACATGGAATTAATCGATTCCCATCCTGCTATTATTAAAGCTTCTCGGTTGCTAACATCAGATAGCCTATAGATAATCTTGGCTGCCCTGGCGTGGATATTCTCCACTTCATGCAATAATGTAGGTGAGCAGGTACCCCAAACTAAATTGCAATAAGTGACGGTGGGTATAATACTTGTACAATAAATAGACTGTAAGGTATCCGTTGTTAAATATTTGAGCCCTTTTAGCTGATTTATTTACTTTCTGAAAAGGAGCTACAAATTAATTCAATATGGCTAAGCCAAGTCAACTGATTGTCAATAATAATTCCTAAACACTTAGTTTCAGTCCCAAAATCTAAGACCTTGTTTCCTAACATAACAGGCTTTAGTGGTCCACAGAAGGGTTTATGAGTCAAAATCACGACTTCTGACTTCACTGTATGTGTGGTCAGCTTGTTGTTTCTGCACCACAGGTTGATACTTGTTAGGGATTTGTCTGTATCTACTGTGTACCCGTCAAGAAAAATTTCAGACGATCAGTTTTTGATTCAACGCCGCTGTTTTGAACCGTTCTTGATATCTGCTGCGACTTTACGGCAATCTCCTGCTCGAGAGTTGCATAAAACCTCTCTTGGCGTACCCCTCATAGACTAGGTTTTCGTAAACAGGGCGGATGTTGACTTACAATGACAAAATAGAAATAGAATCGGCAATATCTGTCACACAAGAATCCTTTTCCTAAGTGTTCATGACTTAAACACCAAGAACTAAATACGATATTGTAGAAATCCCCATCATTGACAATGTCATAAGCCCTCTTCTAAATTCGTCACTTTGCTGCTTTACACACCAATAAACAGATAATTTTGTATACAATCTTTTTTTAAACAACCTTTGATTTTCCTTTAGCTCTGTTCGTGAGTCAGTCGCCTGCCTTTCTTAGATACTTACCTGTGTTTTCGATAGATGAAGTTAAGAAGCAAACAACCCAGACAGAACAATACTCCGACACAGGCCAACACATAGAAAACAGTGGTTACACCTGGACTGTCCTGAGAAAGCGTCTGAATGATTGTAATACCGTCTACAGGAACTCGACCTCCTATCAAACACAAACAGAGTTCCCATTCAAGCTCATTTTTTAAACAACCTTTTACATATTATTTTATTTTATCATTATTCTTATTTTTCCTGAAAGTTCTAAATTGGCCCGCGGTCCTCTGAGTTCTTGGTTTTATCGGCAACCCTTTTTACTGAGACTTCTATTTCGCCGACCTTTTTTATAACGAGGCCATTCAAAGCAGCGTTTCCCCAGAAAACTGGGTCGTGTAAGAGGGAAAAAAAGCTACCATCTTTACAACGGTCACAATGAACCACGAAAGCATTGACAAGATCTGATAATTTTTTGCTAGTAGATAAGGCGATAAGGCCTCTGATAATCGATGACTTGACTTTTGTAATAATCAGGCCCTTCGTTACCACATTTGATACAAATGCTTCTGTTTAATTTTCAAAACAGTTAATTCTTACCTTCCCACTCAAAACTGTCGTTATAAATCTTCAATTTCTTTTCAAGGACATCAAAAGTTGCAACAACTTTCTTACTTCCTCCTAAAAAAATTCAAGTAAAGAAATAAAATCTTGTCAGGAGTGGATACAGATGGCGTCTTCCTGCATCTTCCAAATACAAAATTCATCATATAAAAGAGGAAAATACTAGTTTTTATTAAAATAAACTCTGAACTCTTCATAGAGGAGCCCAATAAATGTACCATGAATATGTGTTGACACAATGGCCATTTTCACACTAGAGACGGATTATCCGTCTGAGACGGGTAATCCGTTAGAAATTCACGTCAGGCAGAAAATAAGTCTTAATTTGAAAACGGAACGGCTTTTAACTTGGATGAACGCGCCGTATGAATTAATCCATCTGTTTATCCGTCAATTTTGACGGATTTTGAAGATAGGTTATCCGTCTCAGACGGATAATCCGCCTTAGTGTGAAAACGGCCAATAATGGCCCCGCAATGTTAAGAAATTTCCATCCTAACAAATTCCATACTTAATAAAACTCAAACAAGCTCTCTAAAGATTTGGCACCAACTTGATGGGAATTTGCATGTGATCACTTTTTATTATAGAACCGTGCTCGACCTGTAGTCAAGTATATCATTCTGATTGCAGGGTAACTGCAGAGTAACAAAGCCAATATTACTGATCATTTTCACTCCTTCTAAGCTGTGAAAGATGATTTAAAACTTGCGAACATAGAAGTTTAGGACTTAATCATAACTTTAAAAGCTTTGATAGTGAGTGTTAAGGAAGTGATCAAATACAAACTTGAACGCTTGAACACAACTTTAATCCGCTCGATTTACAATACATCGATTTGTAACAGGTTGATTTACTGCCCGGGAACCCGACTCACAAATCTACGAGCGACTAGCAAGGAAGACACGTGACGTTTAATCTAAATAATTTATTTTACTCTCACAGGTCCAGCCTCACGGGGCTTTTAATTACCCGAGTACGAGTACGACGATGGGCTGTAACAGTGAGAAAAGAGGGTTAATTTTGATCATAATAATGATGATGATAATGATAATGATGACAATGATGATGATGATTATAAGAATGACAACGATCCATGACGTTAAAAAGAAGGATACCAGTAGAGGTGATGATGATAATGTAGAGAGAGCTGGTTACTGCACAAAGTAAAGGACATTGTAGTTTAGTACATTTTTAAAAACACCCTTCGTTGAACTAGAAGATAAGGACCTCCACTTGTCTAGTGGTTTATCAATAATATTACAAATACTTAATCTTTCAATGGCATCTAAAAAAAACCGGCATCCCCCCTTGCTGCCTTCAGGACCTGTTACCTTCCCCCCCCCCTTTCCCTTCAAAAAACGTAAAGACCCGCCAGAAATCCGCAACCCCCCTGTGGTATACCTAATGAATGCAGCTTAAGAATGGTGTATCGCACAAACACACGTGAAAAGAATAGACTCTCCCAACAAGCTAAGTAAAAACAAAAAAATGCAGCTTTGCATATGAGGCATTGTAGCCTCTCATGGAGAAAATGTCCCGCAAACCCCCAGGGAGGAAGGGGAGTGGGAGTGGGTGGCTGAGTGATCGCATCTGAAAATGACTAAGCCATTTAAATAGAAATATAGAGATGCAAAAAATGCTACTTGTTACTGTTTTAGACTATTATTTTCTCCTCAACTTACTTCTGTTTTGAGTAATTTGCACAAGAGTTTGTCTGTTGCCATTGTCATCGAACGTAACATGACCCTGTAAACAATTTAAGACTTTATGTTTATTGTTTAATTCCCTGTCATTTAACCTTACCAACACTTTAAATTTATTCTGGTTATCCCTGACTTGACATATGTTTAAAGACAAATGTCTTAAATGATGAAATCAGCATAACAACAACAACGATTAATTATCATTCTTATTATTACTATTATTATTATTATTATTATTATTATTATTATTATTATTATTATTATGGTAATTCAACGAAGTTCTTCTTACATCACCATAGCTGTACTATATACACGACAGAAAAAAATAATCATCATCAGTATAGACTAATAATCATTATAAAAAAATCCGATTGACCCCGTGTTTTTTAGCTCTTTCTTCCCGGTTAAAAGTCGTAAAATTTCGCCGGCAAGCTGTTAAATCTTGGAGACATCAATGTTTACAACCATTGTTTTTGTTACTCGAATTTGTAAAGAGTGAAACAGATCGCTATAATAAAAAATATAACTGGAGGATTACCATTCTAGCCGTACTTGAATATACGCTAATGTACATACCGACATCCCCCAGAAGTCTGTCTGGAAGAGGAGATTTCTCATAATTCTGGCTCCCTCCACATCGCGGTACGTCATGTTTTCCAATGTTTTGTTCTTTTCTCGCAGTAGCGAAATAGATTTATTCAACATCAAAGCAACGCTCCAGGCGGCGTCATAGGTAAAGGCAGCATAACTATTGTAAGTGTAGTTTAAACTCCTCAGACGCTGTTTGTACTCTGATTTCAGTTGTTCGGCAGTCTAAGAAGCAAGCAATACTTCACCAAAAAAGATATGAGCATCATTCTTACTTCAGTAGGTTATGTTCACAATACGCCAGATAGTTTTTGCTCCGGCACGAAAACCATACCGGATAGGGCTTCTGTTCACACAAGAGAACAGTGATTTCGGCGCGATTTCTGTAACGGAGCAAAGCTTCGCCGCACCGATCGCTTAAGAGGATCGAATAGGTGTTCACACTATGCCGGATAGTTCTTCGTTTCGTCACGAAAAGCTGCCCGCTATAGTATGAACACAAACCTATAATACATCAAATTTGTAATTAAGTTAAGCAGCTGACAATGTTCTAGATAGGACGTGACCCTTGAATGACAGGAAGCCACGTCCCCACTAGGCGTACTTTTATATGGATAAATCCTGTTGTTTACTGTACTTTTATTCTACAATAATGCTTCATACCTTTGTCTCCTTTTATGCCTAAAATTATGCGGCATAATTTGGAAAACCTTACAATAATGCAGCTTTTAATTACAGCTTGGCCAGACGAACATCACGAATTTGTGGCACTTTTCATCTGTCATCGTGCTAGCAAGTAAAAGGTTTGTGTTATAGGTCAAAATTAAATTCGGGTTAAAATTTTTTATTAAAACTGATCAACCAAGGTTGATTCTCAAATTCGTTTGTCTCCTAACCCTAATTATTCATGTATTAGGGCTAGAAGACAAAGGGAATTAAGAATCAACCTTGGTTAAAAAATTTTAACCTTAATTCAATTCTGACCTGTAACATTTGCATTTTTGGAAATCGAACATTTCCAGAAGAACACATTCGCTCTACAGGTTTCTCCCAGTACTTACCCTGTTTGAAATGGTAGGTTTACGTGACGTACTCAGTGGTAATGGCAGAGTTTCTATCATGTTATCAGCAGCTTCTATCAGCTGTTCTCCCTCACATTCTACATCTCGTTTTTTCCACCAGTCTTCGTTGTACCAACCAACTATAAGCCAAACGTATTTGCTTCCATATAGTCCTTCTTTGTAAGCCTGTTGATAAGAAATCACATTGACAACCTCTTAGCGCCTAAAAATGTTCATGGCATATCTATCAAGTGGGAGATCAACATTGGTGTTTTAACTTAACAAGGTCAACTGGCCCAATTGAATGCCTGGAACATGCTTTAAACCGGATACCTTCTGGAGTGTCTAACGTGCAACTAATGCTTAGTGTTCCAATTATATACTTAAACCCTGCATCAAATTAAAGCTTATTGAGCAAGTATACTTTTAGACCAACATTTATTCAAAAACTTTAATGCGAACGTCTGAATCAGTTTTCCAAATAAATAAAAATTGAAAACTTATGACCGTATGGCCCTCTATTTATTACCGCTTCCAAACTCTGCTGGACATTACTCGTCAAGCCAGAATGCAGTTGGTTTGGAAAACTACCTCACTCTTTCGGGTAAGCAGGGGGCAAAAAAAAAAACAAGCGTTTTGTCCGAAAAAATGTTATACTTACGGTGCACATTGCCTTTCTGAATTTGTCCTCGTACATCAACCCAATGATAATTCTAGCATCCCTGTTCTAACAGGTCGAAAAGAACAACATGGTCATTAATCTATCACTAACTTATGGAGCTGGAATGACTTAACAAGGCCTAAAAGGTCTTTGCGAAAACTTCTTTTAGGCTCTTTCTGGGTGTGCTGTGTATGAAAACATATTCAAAATGGTCTCTACCCAAAGCAAAAATGACAATGAAAATAGTATCTTGCAGTGATGTGGAATCGACAAGGCGAGAGAAAGTAAATGTTTTCTTACCTTAAGCACATACTTCACCGATGAAGAAGGATCGTTTTTAAAGCTCGCTGTCGCAATTATGGTGATATTTGATTCCTCTAACATCGGAACGAGATCTTCTTTGGTCTGAGTGAATGAATGAAGTTAAGTTTATTTTACCTTCTAGCACCACATAACACAGGAAATGGTGACCCCTTAGTAAAGTGTTCTCAAACATAATCTGATTTTTGCGATATTGAGTTTATACGAAGCCAAACTTTATAAAGAATTGTTCTTCATTCCTATTCTTTTTATGACTAATTTATAGCAATTCTTACCAAGACGTAAATATCCAAATTTTGCACAATAAGAGCAACCTTTTTCCATTTGAAGTGCTTGAGCAATGCTAATCTAGACGGGTTTTCCATTGTTTCTGAAGTGCTTGTTCTGAAATAAAGGGGGAATTTCCTCTTGTCTGAAAATAATGGTGATGAAGTGCTATATCCAATCTAAAAAAAAAAGGAAAAATAATTTAAGTTTTGTTTAGCTCTTATCTTACTTTTTGACATTACTACTTTATTAAAAAAATAATGAGGAATACTGTTTGCGATGATTGCAACTGGTTTAAGTAATGGTCCAGATAAGAAGGAAAGGACCAAAACGCAGTGAACACGTTGGAATGCAAAAAGGTGCTAACTTTACTATTGTCTCTACTAAGGTTCTGATTGGTTTAAACATCAAATTTTACGAAATCTTCGCAAAGCAGCATGTACATTAATCCCTTTTTTTCTATCCAACTTCCTTAAAACAAAATTTCGTCTGAGTCTAAGTAACACAGAAATCGTATGTGCGGATCATGTAAAATTGTTAACATTTCTTGGCCATTGTTTGCAACTCTTGTGATTGGTCGAAATGTTTTAACACAAAAATACCCCCTTTAAAAATGGAGTTTAAATACATTTTCTTTCGTAAACAGCCTTTTTGTAGATTTATGTACTCTCTGCGTAAAAATGAAAGCATTTCTATGTGAGGAAAGCGTATTGCGCCACAACAAAAGAAATTGCTTCCCTTCTTACCTGGATCATTACTTAATTTTAAAAAGATATCACATGGACGTTTAGGAAAGGCAATACATTTATAGTACAATAAACTAGGAAGTTGTGACTCATCCAGTAGATAACAAGATTTACTTACATGGCAGCGGCGGATCCAGACCTTCAGATAGAGGGGGGGGGGGAGAGGCGGTCATCCAGTCCCTGAGATAAGCGGGAGGCCCGGTCTTACAAAAATATTTTCCGCCACTGCATGACTATTTAACAATTATTCCTCGAGCCCAAATGGGCTATTGACTCAGAGGCTATTGTTTTAGTAAAATCCAACTAGTTGGTCAAAAATGTCGAGAATCAAAAACATTTTAGCTAGTTGAAGCTAGACTTAAATTCTTTTTTGCCGCCAAAAAGCCGGCGCTTTTCACTACTAGTGGGCTATAATATATAGCCTAGTAGTAGCTCAAGCAATCAGAAGGCAGCATTGATAATAGACCACTAGTTGGATTTTACTAAAACTAGATAGAAGAACGAGGGCTTTAGGGAGGAGAGTCAGGACGAAGGCAGAGATAAATTTGTAAACTTACTTGTACTGCTTGCCAATACGGCGCAGCTTCAGCAACAGGCGTGGTTGCTACCGAACATCCAGGACCCAGGAAAATGATCTTGTGCGGTGGTGTGTTAACTAGTTCGAGCATAGCACGTATTCCTGCCCCGCTCTCACACTGAAAAGGGAAAGTAAGACACTTTAAACAATTGAGTGTTATTTTGATATCTTGTAGAAACGTTCATAAAGGTCCGCTAAACCTTCTCAACTTAACAAAGATCAGACAGGACGGTTACCTTGGAATCCCGCCAAACAAATTTAAGCTGGTAATCCGCCAAGATGTTGGAATTGTTGTTCACGTGATCAAGCGCCATTTCCAATATTGGGATCAGAGCTGCGGAGCTCCACGCTCCTTCTGTAATGTTTACTCCGAAAAACCCACCAATGAAGAGATCAATTTTCGATTTGAAGCTATCACCATTTATTGAAGAAGTTGCCAAAAGGCAGGAGAAAATGAACAGGTAGTTCGTCGCCATCATGTCTCAATTTCGCACATTTTCCTCAGACTGTAGAGATAGTAAGAAGAAAATATCACTCTCGCTACTCCTACCGTTCAAGCCTTGTCTGCGGTGTCTGACTTTGAAATTTGTGTGTATTTTATGGTCCTGACGTCCGAGTAAGGTAAAAAATCTATCGAGCGGTTTAAAATTGCCAATTTTATCTTGGTACGTTAAGATCCGTTAAATTAGCAAAGTTTTTTTGGTACGTGTTCTTCAGTGCTAAAACTGGTATGGTTTAAAGTTATCCGCTTATTCATGAAAGGAGACCGAAATGTTTTACAAAACGCTTAACCACAGCGCTTAAATACATACTAATCAACTCCTTCTTTCTAGCAGTTGGCTAAAGCTATTCCCATGATTTTTCAGACACGTTTTTTTAAAAGATTGTAACTACTATGAGCTGAAATTGTATTTCAAAAGCCCTTCGAATATCAAGATTGTCTAGTTTTTGCTGTACTTCTAACCATAAAAATTTCATTCCAAACATTCCCGAAAAACGCTTTATTATATTTTGCTCAAATTTCACGAACATTGGGGTAGTCATTGGAGGAACAAGCTCCCGTGAGCGATTATGGAAAAAAGACTCCTAGTGCCTAGCCTGCGAGCAATCTCTCCATTTGGGGACATCATGAAAGTACACGCGCTAGAGGCACGCGAGAGGAGACGCGTTCTCGCGCAGCTTGCTTCGCTCTCCCAAATAGACAGCTTGCTCGCAGGCTACCTAGGTGCCGAGAAATAAGGCTGCAAGTACAATCGGTAATGACGTCATTTCGTTGCTATGACGACTGCTATATCAACATAAGACTGCTCATAACAAATTGCGTCTTTGTCTGATAAAGCTGGGTAAATTGTTTTTCCATTTGTTAATGGCGACGTGGTAATTAGACAGATTTAGAGTCACGTTTATGGCAAACGGTAAACGGCAAGACTGAAAATGAAAATTTCTTAAAATAGAAACTTAGAAGATATAAACAATCTAAAACAATTCAAAAATAATGTGAAACCATTCTTTGTAGAAGTAAAGAACAGTTACAGACAAATAAACGGAAAACTTGGTCACTTGGCACAAATTCACGTTTACCGTTTTTGCCGTGAGCGATACTTTAAACACTGGGTTGTTGTAGTCTTTTTTGGTGGGGGTGGGGAGGGGTGGGGTAAAATTCCATTTTGCTCCAGAAATTATGCCAAGTTCACTTTTAAAACTCGACCTCCATTTGACAAGTCCAATGCACAGCAGAAAAAATGTTAGAGGAGCAAGCGATGGAATTATTTTCCCAAAAAGTGCATGAATGAAAGCAGAGGGCACACTATCTTTATGTACAATCAATCAACGTTGCGACTGATTTAACTATTTCACCACTTAAATATCGTAAGCGCCCGAATAAGCGCTCTCTTAGAAATAGTGCTCTTTCACCCGTAAAAGACTGCTAGATGTTGAAGCCGCAGTTCCTCTGCGGAAAGGGAGAACCCATTTTTGTTCTTTAAGGTTACTTTATACTTTAAGTAATGGTCCAGATAAGAAGGAAAGGACCAAAACGCAGTGAACACGTTGGAATGCAAAAAGGTGCTAACTTTACTATTGTCTCTACTAAGGTTCTGATTGGTTTAAACATCAAATTTTACGAAATCTTCGCAAAGCAGCATGTACATTAATCCCTTTTTTTCTATCCAACTTCCTTATAACAAAATTTCGTCTGAGTCTAAGTAACACAGAAATCGTATGTGCGGATCATGTAAAATTGTTAACATTTCTTGGCCATTGTTTGCAACTCTTGTGATTGGTGGAAATGTTTTAACACAAAAATACACCCTTTAAAAATGGAGTTTAAATACATTTTCTTTCGTAAACAGCCTTTTTGTAGATTTATGCACTCTCTGCGTAAAAATGAAAACATTTCTATGTGAGGAAAGCGTATTGCGCCACAACAAAAGAAATTGCTTCCCTTCTTACCTGGATCATTACTTAATTATACAATAAACCTTTCCCGCTACTCTCGAGTCAAAAAATTAAACAACCATCCTGGCGCTATTTCAGTACTTACAGAATATGATTGTTGCAACTTTCGTGTTCGTTAACGCTTGACACGATAAGTGAGGCGCCAAGCTGTCGAGCCTCCAAAATGGACATAACTTCTTATAAACACTCACCGCTGTAAAATATCTATATTTCCCTTTAAATACCCATTTGTTCTTGCGAGTCACTACAAAACTTGTGTCAAATTCCTAGGGCCAATACGGCACTGTTTTCTGAAGTTTATCCGCAACATTTTTCTCTATCCTGTCGCCATATTCGTGATTCCAAAGGCAATTAATCCATATATCATTTTGGGGAGCGAAACCAGTTCGCATTTGCCCCTGCAGATAACCTGCGAATACAACTGTCTCTACTCGCTCCCGGGACGGCTGTACTCGCAGGTTAATCTGTAGAATGCCGTGTTAAAACTATCGTGATCGCAATAAACCTGCTCAATGATGCACTGCCTACCTTAGTTACCTTGCTACTGCGCGTCAAAGAACTGAACTAGGTGCTCAGAAGGTTTTTTCGTTTAATATACACTAATCGTGAATAACAGGTGTTTCATTAGAAATTTATTAAACTTGGACAGTTTTTCTTTCATTGTTTGGTTTAAGATCGTTTTTACTAAAAGGCTATCTTTATTTACCTTTCTGTGACAGCAGTGGACAGATTATGTGTGTGATAAGCACCAAAAGACAAGTTGTCATCGTTTTAAATGATTACTTGTTTTTATCGATCCCGAACCATAAGCTAACGACCTACGGATTCGAATATGTCGTAGTGATTTATCCACAGTTCAGATTACCCAAATTGATTTCAATTCAGGATTTGTTGCTGCTGTTTTAAAATAATGCGTTTAAATCAAAAAAGTAATAATCGCGAACAACTGTTCCGCCGGACCGTCTCCAAAGTAATGAATATTAAGACCACCCGAATAGACCAATTCGGCTAACTCAATGTTGTACCCAATTCAAACCCTTTGGGAATAAAATTTTTTGTTTCAGGAATTTCCATATCATTTAAATGTGAATGCCACCTTATAATGCAAATACAGTGCACAAAGAATCTTAACCCCGAGAGATCTGAATTGGGTACAACATTGCGTTAGCCGAATAGGTCTATTGATTAAGACAAGATCTTAATTCCACCCGAACTAAAATGAAAAGGAGCCGAGATTTTTCTAGAAATCAACCGATATACCTTGCTTTGACGACATACTGCGACACGATTGGCCAAACGAACAATCCCTTTTCCATATTGGTGGGAAAACGAAGAGGCCATGTTTTAATCATTTCATCCATTGGCTGATAAAACCTATAAAGAACTCTTACCGAAAACTTTTTTCAAGGTCATACGAAAATCGCTCCAATCATTTCGGTCAAACTGCTTTCAAAATACGTTACAATAATTTATGCATTAGGTTTGTCGCACAAAAAGTGCTACGACTGAATCAAAGGCGTCGTAAAGTCGAAAATCCCGGCCGGGCTGGTAGACGAAAAGAGCGGCTGAGCCGTTTCAAATTGAAATAGGCGTTCCTAATTGATTCAGACGCCGGACTTTTCAGGTGCTTAATTCAATGTATTAGGTTCGGATCATGAACTGCGCCTAGTAATACAAACGTTTTAAATTCTTTTCTCAGCCTAAATGATTTAAACCTATCGACATGGAAAAAAAGTGACTTATTTAGTTCCACAATTTATCTTACACTCATGTTCTTGGTCTTGAACAGTATCCAGAGAAAAAGGTAAACCGTATGCATATTTCATGATAATATGTAAATGCAAGCTGCAGTCAATTCTTTCTGAGATCGCAATACTTCGATACAGACCATCTCTATTTCTTTCTTCAACTAAAAACACCTGTTAATTTGGATTAGATGTTGCTTAAGGGTGTGAAGCCACGGTTTGTCTACGCAACAACACTTTGGTTGATGCTTAATGACTGTCCACAAGAATAGAGTAGGAACTTTAAGTCCCAATAGTGACTAACGTCAATTTTCTCCCAACGATATCCATACAATGTCAAGGGATTAGGTTATGAGAATTAATAAAATGATCACCTAAGGGAAAATGCCTTGATCTTTTATCAAATTCTCTCAACTCATTCATGAAGGAAATGTATGGAGATCAGTTTGGAGAATTTGTACGTGGATATTGGGGCTTAAAGGATTAAAAGATGTCCGTCTATGATCTCTCAGAGCGATGGAGGGGCTGCGAGGTGCCAGTAAATAACTTTCCAACAAACAAAATCTTAGCAAAATGGTTTCTCAATATCATTATTCGTTTAACTGACATAATTTGGTATGATTTTGGGAATCGCCACAGAAAAGCACGGCAGGAATCGTAGACACTTCCAACAAGTTGTCATTGTCAAGCATGGAGTTACCACAACAAAGTGCCACAGCGTGGAAAATGTCCCGCGACATGTGCCCCGTTTACACAGAAAAAGAAAAAAAACAATCCGCTGGTTTATTTCTACATTTATGCCTTTCTTTTATATATTGACAGTTCTATTTTGAACTTCCTATGCACAGGCCATAAATCGTTCGTTTCACACTGATGCAGTAAGTTAAACGATATTGGTCTGTCTGTGGTCTGAAGTACTTTGTGGATATATTTTTTTTGTATTTACTATCTGGCCGCTTTTCGTGAAATTTAACTGTGAAATTAATGTTGGCTTTTAAATCCCCTTCAATAACTTAACTTTAAGTTTGTGTAAACCTTTATCACAAATTATTATTGAATAATTAAACGGCGTTTAATAAGTATGTTTTTCTTTCATTATAGATATTGCTACGAGATACGCCCCTTATGTCAATGAAATTAATGCAATTTATGCACTGTCAAAAGACCATTTGTTCAACACTTTTTTATACACAGTATTTTTGATATAAAGACTTTTAGCTCAAAAGAGGACTGAAATTAGTGTCAGCTATCCCAATAATTTTTTCGCAAGGCCAGTT